AAAGCCCCAGTAGATAGTTGTATGTCATAGTTGCACATCCTTCTAGTTGCTGTATGTGGGACGCGGCCTCAGCATGGCCGGAGAAGCAGTGCATCGGTGCGTGCCTGGGATCCGAACCCGGGCCGCCAGCAGCGGAGCGCGCGCACTTAACCACTAAGCCACCGGGCCGGCCCAATTTTCTTCATTTCAAAATAGCTCAGAAGATAATGACTTTGCTCTATCTGGTGGTTTTTATTTGTAGCAGTACTCTTACTTTTTTATAATACTAAGTTATAAAAAATTTTGAAACTTGTGTTTGTATTCCCTATATAGAATTTCTAATAGAGTTGTAGGATAAGCATTGTTTTCTGATTTTTTTATAGTTGCTATGGCCTCTGATGTTAATATTTTGTTACTACAATAGCTATTAATCAATGGTTTTGCTAAAATACCTATGAATTTATGTTACATAATTTGTAATGATTCAAATAGGATAGATTATTATGAATTAGCACTATATGATGGATCATGGCAAGGGTAATTAGCATATATTTGAAATTCAAATAGAAGATTTTAAACATTTATAAAAGTAGAGAGATTAGTATAATGAATTCCCATGTACCCTTCATCCAGCTTCAACAATTACCGATATATAGCAGTCTTGTTTTATAGAAATCACCTCCCATTCCCTCCCTACCTGTCAATATATTTTAAATTGTTATATTATTTCATCTGTAAATATCTTAGTATGTATTTCTGAGACATAAGCACTCTTTTAAAAATATATAATCACAATGCCATTATTATACCTATGAAAATGAAAAGTAATTCCTTAATATCACCTAATATCCAGTCTGTGTTCAAATTTTCTTGATTGCTCTATAAAGGTCTTTTTATAGGCTGTTTGTTTAAATCGGTATCCAAATAGTGTTCACACATTACATTTGGTTGCTATGTCTCTCAAGTTTCTTTCTCTCTTTTTGTCAGTAAACATTTGATTGAAGAATATCGTACAAAATTATACCAATCATAGACGTACAGCTTGATGAATTTTCACATACTGATCACCTCTGTGTAGAAGCACGAAGATCAAGAAACAGAACAGCATTAGTTCCCCAGAAGTTCCCTTCATGCTCTCTTCCAGTCACATCCCCTCATCCTAATGATAGATTAGTTTTGTTTTTACAGAAATGGAATCCTATAGTGTAAACTCTTATATCTAGTTTATAGATATGTTTTAAAGATTCGTCTATGATGTTGCGTGATTCAGTAGTTTGGTCTTTTTTATTGTTGTGTGGTATTCTATGAATATTGCAAGTTATCCATTTTACTCTTGATGGGCATTTAGATTGTTTGCAGTTCTTTGCTATTATATATTTCGCTGCTGTGAACTTCCTTATGCTTGTCTTTTAATGAATTCACAGACTTTTAAAATCTATAACAATTCTTCCCTCTTTTTTGTCTTGCCATTTACTTATTGAAGAAATTGGTCATTTTTCCTATAGAAAAATTCTGAAGTTTTTCACAGCTTGGTTGTAGTAGTGGTTGTTTTATTTGTATATTTTATTAATATATAACCTCGAGTTGAAATTGTTCTGTCACCTCAAAAAATAAGTAAATGATTCAAATTATTTTTTTTTTTTTTGCTGAGGAAGATTCGCCCTGAGCTAACATCTGTTGCCAATCTTCCTCCATTTTGTATGTGAGCTGCCGTCACAGCATCGCCACTGATAGACAAGTGGTGTATGTCCCTGCCCTGGGACTGAACCCCAGCCGCTGAACTGGAGCACACTGAACTTAACCACTAGGCCTCTGGGGCTGGCCCTGATTCAAATAATTTTGAGTGATTTTTCTGTTTTTAAAGTCTTCCAATAGTATCTGACTTTTTAACTGTTAGCATGGGTTATTTTTATAATACTCAATATCAACATTTTAGAAAAATTCATTTTATATTGGTATTTTTATTACTTTTTATAACTGTGTATTATGTGTTTTAAGTGAAATAAATACTAATGCTCTCCTTTGTATGTTTCCTTTAATAGGTTTGATATTGATGTGCTGTCAAAATTTTCCTCTTGCCTAGCAGATCAACACTTACATTTGAGTCCATTAATGGGAAAAATAGCTGATATTGTAAATAGGAACTTGGAAACCATACAGGACTTAAGGTAAATTTATTTAGGGGCCTTGTGTTGTGGTGGACAGATTTTGGGCTTTGGATGCACACATAATTAGATTTGCCACTTTCCGGCTGTGTGACTTTAACCTCTTGGAAGTTCACTATCCTCATCTACAAAATAGGGATAGTAGTATCTACTTTGTAATGTTGCTGTGGAAATTAGAGATAAATTATATAAAGTGTAATGTAATATTGTTGAGATCTGTGAAAGGTTTGAGATTTTTACCTTACTTATAAGCTAACAGTTTGCCTGCCACCCTCATGACCTCATTTGACCTTGATTACCTCCCTAAAGGTCCTATCTCCAAATACTGTCACATTGGGAACTAGGGCTTTAGCATATGAGTTTTGAGGGTACACAGTTCACCCTATAACACATCAGTGTTCATAGCAGCATTAGTCACAATAGCCCAAAGGTGGAAACAACCTAAATGTCCATCAACAGATGAATGGACAATCAAAATGTGGTATATACCCACAGTGAAATATTATTCAGCCTTAAAACGGAAGGAGATTTTGGTATATGCTACAACATGGAAGAACCTTGAAGACATTATGCTAAGTGAAATAAGCCAGACACAAAAGGACAAATACTGTATGATTTCACTTATATGAGGTACCTAGAGTAGTCAAATTCATAGAAACAGAAAGTAGAATGGTCGTTGCTAGGGGTTGGGAGGAGGGGAGAATGGGGAGTTATTGTTTAATGCATAACGAGTTTTAGTTTGAGAAGATGAAAAAGTTCTGCAGGTGGATGACAGTGATGGTTGCACAATAATGTGAATGTACTTAATATCACTAAACCATATACTTAAAAATATTTAAAATGGTAAATTTTACATTATGTATATTTTTTGACACACTCATGAAAGTAGCTTGTAAAAGCAGAGACAATAAAAATCACCAAAGTAAATTTTTTTAACTTTTAAAAATTCTTATAGACCCCTTTGAGAATCTAATGAAATCTTTGGACATTTCCCCATTCCATATTGCAGTTACAAATATATATGTACAATTAAGAAAAACCATTTCAGGGAGCTTATGGTTAAACTAAATAGCAATGTTAGGTTACTAATTAATGTTAATTAATTTTTTTTTTTCTTTTTTTTGTGTGTGAGGAAGATCAGCCCTGAGCTAACATCCGTGCTAATCCCCCTCTTTTTGCTGAGGAAGACCGGCTCTGAGCTAACATCTGTTGCCAATCCTCCTCCTTTTTTTTTTTCCCCCAAAGCCCCCCAGTAGATAGTTGTACGTCATAGTTGCACATCCTTCTAGTTGCTGTATGTGGGACTCGGCCTCAGCATGGCCGGAGAAGCGGTGTGTCAGTGCGTGCCCAGGATCTGAACCCGGGCCACCAGTAGCGGAGCGTGCGCACTTAACCACTAAGCCACGGGGCCAGCCCAATGTTAATTAATATTAACATTCAACATTTTGATTAGAGAAGCTAAAATATTGTACAACTAGGTTTTTTAAAAAATATCTTTTGAGGGCCAGCCCGGTGGCTTAGCTGTTGGGTGTGTGTGCTCCGCTGCTAGCGGCCCGGGGTTCAGATCCAAGGCGTGCACTGATGGCCACTTGTCCGGCCATGCTGGGGCCGCGTCCCACATGCAGCAACTAGAAGGATGTGCAGCTATGACATACAACTATCTACTGAGGCTTTGGGGGAAAAATAAAAAAATTAAAAAAAACAAAAAATGAACTCTTCCTTTAGGGCCAGCCCCGTGGCTTGGCGGTTAAGTGCGTGTGCTCTGCTGCTGGTGGCCCAGGTTCGGATCCCGGGCGCGCACCGACGCACCGCTTCTCCGGCCATGCTGAGGCCGAGTCCCACATACAGCAACTAGAAGTATGTGCAACTATGACATACAACTATCTACTGGGGCTTTGGGGGGAAAAAATAAATAAATAAAAAATATCTTTTGAAAAGAATGAAGAAATTTGGAAACAAAAAAATGCAAACAGTCCACTATCCTAATGGTTGAGATAGTTTTAGATTTATATTTTTATTTCTTTTTTGTAGATTGTTTACATTCTTTATTCATTATAGATGCATTCCTGTATTCGTGGTTTTCTAAATTTTGTGTTCTCTAAGAACTGTCTTTTGAAAGCAGGGACCTCACCTTTGTAATGTTGGTATTTTCCACAGTGCCTAATAAGAGTGATTTATGTTCCTTAAAAGTGTTTACTGAGTGAAGAAATATTAAATGCTACCTTATGTTTAGTATCGTCTTACTGTTGTATATTAATATCAATCTAGCACGAAACATTAAAAAGATGAAATCATTCACTAGTGAGAAATATTTTGCCAAGATTTTTATTAGTAAATTACAGATATACAGAGAAAGGAGTAACAAAGTGAAGTGTACTTCCAAAAATATAAAATGAGACTTTTAATGTTGCATTAATAGGCATTAATAGGCTGTTGGTCCAAAGTGATTTCTGAGTAAATTTCACTAAAATATTTTCCTCCAAAGCAGCTATCTATAAAATGAGATATTGTATACACTCAGTAAAAAATATTATTTCAATACTTTTTTATTTAAAGGGGTTCAGTTATTAGGAGATCTGAGTTCAAGTCCTGCTAGTATTTAGGAGAAAAATTGTGTGGTATAAAACCCACAAGATTTTTACCAGTTTCTTTCCATATCTAATTATTTAGTCTTAGAATTGTTCATTATTCTTAAAAAATGTAAAAATATTTGCATCTTTTCCCTTTTTCAGGTCCTTGTCTGTTTTGATGGTCAGCATATCTTCTTTAATATCACAACGTTTTCAAGAACAATTAGTGAACAAAACAGAGCTTCTTTTTGACACCGTAGATTCTTCCCAAGTCTCCATTGCAAGAAGAATAGTACAGTTTCTTCGAAATATTAAATATAGTTATTACCCACTATTAGAAAAGTGTAATGAAGTGTTTTTAAGCAATGTGAACCACCTTGATTTGGAATCCATCAGTAAAATACTTAATCTTTACCACTCTCTACAGTTTCATAATTTTGAATTTATTATAAAGGCTAAAAAGAGGCTAACTGAAATGATTCCTCTGTTTGACCACCCTGCTAGTTTTGTAAAATTATTTGTAGCATTGGGACCCTTGGCAGGACCTGAAGAAAAGAAACAGTAAGTTCAGCTAAAAATGCTTTACTTTTCTTGTTGAGAGTATATGGAGCCTTCAAACTTAGATCTCGAAGTTGTGCAAGGCACAACCCCCCCCCCCCCATTCAACCATGGAAGAGAAAATAATCTCTTATGCTCTACTCCTTGATTCTTTCTCTGATTATTCTAATTTACATCTCAAACTCTGTCTACTACTGTGTTTTGAAAGTGGGCCAGTAACCCCCTGGTGGTGGCCAACACAGCAATGGATGAAGGAGAACACCATTGGAGTGCTAGTATGCTCCTTTCCTAGGCCCTGTGACTGGTTTTACACACAGGTTTAAGATCCACACCACCCATAGGGTGTGGAATATTCAGAATTCTAGTAGTCCAAACAATGGACCATTTTATGCTTTGTTGTCTTCACATTCATTATCAAAAGCATTTATTATGCACCTTGGTATGTGTTCCCAATGTGTACGTTCCCAATGGTATATGTCAGGTTTGAGCGAATTTGATTTGTCTCTCATCTTTTAAGAATTTCCAGTTTTGCCAGATATTGAACTAGATAGAAATATTTGGGATATAAAGATGAGCAAATATTAAATTAATACATGATTACTACGTATGAGCAAACAGAGAAGTACACTTAGTAGATTCAGTTGAGCAGAGGTTCCTGGAGTTACATAATAGAGGTGTCTACGTCATTCCTCTGTTAGCAGAAACTTCATGGAGTTTTATTTTTGAGTCATTTGAATTATATGAAGAAATTTAGGGGTATATTTTAAGAGACTGTATCAAGATGAGAACAAGATTATTATTAAGAAAACTTTTATTGGAATCTTTCCCTTTTTTTTTGTTACCAAGTACTGTTAAAATCTCATATGTTAAAGCAGTACAAAAGTTGAATTTAACTAGGTCTTTGCCTTCCAGGAATTTATATTCCAACTGACAGGATAGAAATATGTAGTTGAAATATGTAAATACCATGACACTGCAAAGTAGTTTATCAATAAGTACTCAAATTAGTGATGTCAATAGTAAATGCTGTGGGCAGACCGAAAAGTGAGAGAAAAATGTGGACATAAGTAGTTGGGAAAAGGAGAAGCTGGGTTTGAAGTTGGTTGGTGAAAAGGATTGTGTGAAACTATCCAGTATGAATGGAAAGTTAGTTTATCCTGCTTTCTTCAGATTTCATGTTTTGGGCTTGCCTTCTAAATTATTCTAAAAGACACACTTATATTTAGATATTTTTATTACTGCACTACTTTGGATGGTTTCAAAATGGACCATCTGTGTAAATTTTCAATTTATAGTGTTATAGCAAGTACTCAGTATACAAGATTTCTGTTAATATGCAGGTATATTGACTTCCTGATCAGATGTTACTCAATTTTTAAAAATTGGGATATTGTCAGAATGTCAGTTGTTTGTTCTTTAGCTCTCTAGTACTGAATAATTTTACTGAATCATTGCATTTATAACCATTGTAACCTTATCTTATTTGAAAAATCAATTAAAAAACCTTTTGTCTATATTTTTTGAGACAGTTTAAGATTAGATTATACTAAGGCCTTAATTGCTTTGAAGAAAACAGTGTTTTTTTAATTCAATAATATTTTATATTATACCCAATGATGTGGGAAGAAAATTGGAATTATATATTGAATTTAGTCTTTGTTTATATTATTTCTTTTCTATTCGTTACCTAAGAACTGTTCTTAAAAAAATTTTTTTTATAAGCTAATTATTATTTTTTCAACATAAAAATATTTTTCTTTGCTTCTAGACTTAAGTCGACTATGTTATTGATGTCAGAGGAGCTAACCAGCCAGCAAGCCCTGGCAGTGATGGGAGCAATGGAGGAGATGGAAAGCCGAAATTCACGTCTGATTAAAAAGTAGTTTTTCCTGAAACTCATGATGTTTAGTTGTCATTCATAAGTACTTATGTTTTTGAGGAAAAATTGTTTTTTTCTATAATCTAGCTGTTGGTTTTGAAGAAATAAGAAATTAACACTTAAGGTATTGTTTATTTTCTAAATAGTTTGTTTTTCAAATGGAAATTTAAAAATTTTTTATAGCATTTTTCATTTCATCTGCTGCTGCTGTTATTCTCAAGCAGAGCATCATAATCTAGGAAAGTGGAGAGCATAGAGCAGGACTCTGCTTTTCGAAAGGATAGTTTCTGCAGAACACTTAACATCTATGTGAATTTGAACTGTTTCACACCACAGTTGTTACCTTGAAATCGTACCACCATATATTGGCTCTTTTGTTAACTTGACATTTAAGAAGAAAAAAAATACATGATTCAGTTTATATATAATTTTTCATTATCTATTATATATTCCTTTTTTAATATTCCTTCTGCCCTAATTCTCCCAACTTCTGACTCTTAGCATTTCCCATTGCTTTTTTTTTTTTTTTAAAGATTTATTTATTTATTTTTCCCCCCAAAGCCCCAGTAGATAGTTGTATGTCATAGCTGCACATCCTTCTAGTTGCTGTATGTGGGACACGGCCTCAGCATGGCCAGAGAA